CCCCCACAACCAACCCCCCAGTTCAGTTTTTTATTGCGGATTCGGGGTCCTCTAGTGCAGCGCAGCACAGGCCCACCATCAGAAAAAAAAAATAAAAAATCCTGGCCCTGTTTTTGCATCGCCCGGTTCACCCGGGCGGACCCCCCCGGGCCCAACCGACCGGGGTCCGCCCGGCCGGGCGCCGGTGCAGCCTAGTTTAAAAGTACATATATATTTTATTTTCATTTTTTTTTATTTTTTTTTTGGCCCGGCCGTGCAAGTGGTCGCGGGCCACTCTGGTAGCCTATGCAATGAAATAAGCAATGCGAACAGCAATAAACCAGGTTGCAACATCTCACAGAAGACCAGATATCATTGAGAGCCGAAATTGAAAGCAGAAATCACAGTGAGATGAGTACCAAATATGAACGAGCAAAACACTGAAGTCTCTCGATAAAGAAAGCCCTTCCAAACCCTCCAATCATCAATATGCCACAACAACGTAGCTCTCCTATGGCATCCTGGAAGCCGGCCTACTCTCTATCGCTCCCATACATACAGTCTACCTATGCCAGCAACCAGTCCACGTGTCATCATCTGAATGCTTGAAGACCCTGATTGAACAGCCTGCCTTCATCAACAACAGGTATGGAGTGCTCAGACCGGCTATGGCTGGCCCTCTCCCTTTGCCATGTAGTCTATGGAGTGCTCAGCTCGTTCACATCACTTCCACCAAGGAGCTCCACTATTCCGCCACCCCGGGTACGGAGAGCTCAGCCCAGCTATGGCTGGCCCTCTCCCTTTGTCTTTCCTCGCTGCCACCGGAGCAGCTTCCCATGGGCACAACCCTCGGCTACTGCTTCAGCAGCGCCGATGCATTCGCACAATGCCCAAATGTGTGAGTGTGGGCGGCCTCCAGTCTTTTGTGCTGGATGGAGAGGCAGAGGAGGCCGCGCCCAGCTACATTTTGGCAAGCCCGCCTTCAGTTAGGGCGTGCAGGGCCTCTTTCTGGCCAACCCGAGGTCCTGAATCCCTCGCAGGTATGCCATCTTTTCTTTTTTGTTGTTATTAATTAGTCGTAGCTCCTCGTAAAGTCTCTGAGGATGTCCTCTTCAATGCTGTACTTGTTTTCCCCCCTTTTAAATACAGATGTCTCCTCATATGAGGGGACAGGCTCCTCGTGAAGTCTCTGAGGATTTCCTCTTGAGTGCTGTACTCTCCCCCCCCCTCCCTTTTAAATACAGCTGTCTCCTCGTCATATGTGCAATCAGACCCGCTTTCTTCTTCACTTTGCATACATGCAAACAGATGGCAATACACACTGGCGCCAAGCGCCCACTCAAAGCTCAGAGATATTGAAACCGAGAACACAGTTCAGATGCAAACTCGCTTCAACAGGCTATGGCGCATCAGCGCGCCTGTACATCCCAACTCTCGTCACTGTGTCCAACACCACTGTTCACACATACTCAACTCTGGAATACCCTGAATACCCCACACTCGCTCCCCACACTCGCTCCTGTATCACACACACGTACACCCACACTAACACCTAAGACTAGCTATGACAGCTATGGCCCCCGGCTACTACTAACTATGGCGCACTGACTTCTTCAAGCCCACTTCGACCTCGGGCATCTGCAGACCACCTCGCACAAGACGCTTGGGCAGCGCTTCCGCATGGCTCATGCAGGAATGACTGAATGGCTGGACGCTGCCTCTTGATTTATACTTCTGTAGGTCGTTGGTCTGCCCTTTCCACCGGCCCCATGGTGCACACAGTCCCTCAGGGTACTTGCTGACTATACAAAGTGAGACTGGGACTGGGTACTGCTGACTAAGCGAAGTTGGACTCACCACTTGCCCACTTCCCTCTGGTCTGCTGTGTATAACGTGAGAAGAAACTTGAAAGGCCACTTCCGGACCTTCCGGAAGATTGCGGACTTGGCCTTTCAGGACTGAAGCAGCTACGACCTTGACCTTTCAGGACTGTAGCAGCTACGACCTTGACCTTTCAGAACTACAACGACTATGACCCCTATGCAGGTGTGACCCCTACTTCGACAGGTCTAAGGTTCAAGACCCCACAACTACTCAGACCTACGACAAACAACTCTCAACTACTAACACACAGGTCACGGGTTCAAGACTCACAGGGTCGACTTGACACTGTACACAGGTAAGGTAGGGTAAGGTGAGGTCTGGGGATCGAGCCCTGGGATCCGCATCTGTGTCTGCAAAAGGTGAAAACCGTTTCACTCCCGCCGGCCTAAATTCGAGGTCCTTCGAGAATACTTTAGTCCACGGTAGGACCTTACCCTTCTTATCTCTCTCGTCGGCTCGAACTACATCAGGAGCGGTCTCAAGAAGTTCTGTTCGTGTAAACCAGCGGTCATCCTCCGGTTCCTGAAAAGCGAACCAGACTTTATACTGCGTCTGTGGACAACCTCTACCTGCTGTTCTGAACACATCTTCACCTACGATGCCGTCAATGTCGTACCTTCCATCCATGTCCGGAGGGATCATGGACCTTCGTGATGGAAACTGTTGACTTGTGATACAAGGCAGCAACTTTGACGCATGAAACACTGGGTAGGTGTGGAGGTGCGCTGGAATCCCAACTGTGTAGGACGGTCCATCCTCTCCGCCCTTGACTTCTAAGACTGGCCACGGTCCTCGGTATGCAGGCAGTAACTTTTGCGAGATGTTCTCCTGAGGGACAAACTCTTTGGACTTGACCCAGACTAAGTCGCCTACTTGAAACTGTGATGGGCGACAGTGCTTATTGGCTTGTTCTACCATTCTATGCTGGGCCTTCCTGAGGTTCTCTGTGACGGTTGCAATCTCCTTTTCATAGTGTAGAGCAAACTCCCTAGTACTGGGCGGTCGTCTTTGGATCTGATCCCGGTTCAGTCCCTCAATCGGTCCATGCAGTCAAAAGGACTGATGTAACTCGTTGGGGGTGCGACACGTTGCTAAGTGCACGTTGTTATTGCAGGCGCTGGCTACCTTGGGAAGCATCTCATCCTAGTTAAGCTGATCAGCTGTAATATATATTCGGAGAACTTGTTGCAGGGTTTTGTTCATCTGTTCAATCTGACCGTTGGTCTCAGGATGACGGCCAGATGACATTGACAACCTAGAGCCATAGAATCTCATCAACTCCTGCCAGTTCTGACTAGTGAACTCTGTCACTAACTATTGACTGCGGGAGACCATGTTCACTGACCCAATGATCGAAGAACTTATCTATAACTATATCCGTACGTGCCTCTGCGGGCAAAGGAACAAAAACAGCGTATTTACTGAATCTATCAACTATAACCATGACTTGGCTCTTGCCATGCCTACTCTTGACCCCAGCTACCATAAAGTCAATGGACACAGAATCTCCGGGTCCTGTGGGAATAGGCAAGGGTCTGAGAAGACCAAGAGGGGCTCGCGTAGTGGTCTTATTCCGTTGGCAGACTTTGCAACTGCGTACATACTCTATGCAGTCGGCTTTCATACCTGGCCATGCATACGTACGTATGAGGTTGGCTAATGTCTCTTGCCAACCAAAATGTCCCTCTGTGTCGTGGCATTCCCCTAAGATCAAACTACAGATCTCTTAACTATTGGGAACGCACAAGCGGTCGGCTATGTTAGTCTTCTCAAATAATAACCCGTCTGTAGTGCGGTAGTCTGGCTCAGACTCTGGAGACTCCTTAACTCTCTTGAGGAGATCACTATAAATACGATCCCGTGCATAGGCTTCCTTAATTTTCTGTTGCAGGTCTCGTCCTATATCTAGATAGTGAACTATCACCCCAAAGTAATCAGCCCTCTTGCCCACTTGCCCACTTGCCCACTTGCCTCTGGTCTGCTGTGTATAACGTGAGAAGAAACTTGAAAGGCCACTTCCGGACTCACCACTTGCCCACTTGCCTCTGGTCTGCTGTGTATAACGTGAGAAGAAACTTGCAAGGCCACTTCCGGACCTTCCGGAAGTTTGCGGACTTGGCCTTTCAGGACTGTAGCAGCTACGACCTTGACCTTTCAGGACTGTAGCAGCTACGACCTTGACCTTTCAGAACTTCAACAACTATGACCCCTATGCAGGTGTGACCCCTACTTCGACAGGTCTAAGGTTCAAGACCCGACAACTACTCAGACCTACGACAAACAACTCTCAGCTACTAACACACAGGTCACGGGTTCAAGACTCACAGGGTTGACTTGACACTGTACACAGGTAAGGTAAGGTAAGGTGAGGTCTGGGGATCGAGCCCTGGGATCCGCATTTGCGTCTGCAAAAGGTGAAAACTGTTTCATATGGGGGGACAGGCTCCTTGTAAGTCTCTGAGGATTTCCTTTTGAGTGCTGTACTCCCCCACCCCTCACTTTAAATACAGCTCTCTCCTCCTCGTATGGGGGGACAGTTGTATTTTTACTACCCTGTTTTCTTCTCTCAATATTGTTTTAACCTCTCAGGAGCTACCACTACGCTTGTCGGGTCTATGGGTAGACCTGCGCATAGAGACGGGAGATCGCCATGTTAGATACGCAGGTATGTTATATTTGTTATATTGATAATATTGTTCCATTTTTTTCCTGTTCCTCTCTTTTTTGTCCCCATGATTTTCCTTTTCTACTTCTTATTTTAGCCAATACAAGTTGAGATCCAGCATGCCCGATGGACACAGCTGATTGGCTCTGTAAACAGTGCCAGACCAAACCATAATCATGAACGGAACAAAGATGCGGCAGAGGGGTGTGCAGTGTGTGCGCATGTTCACTATACACTACTCCACAAACAAAAAGAAAAAAGCCTGACTGTTCCACAGAAATTCAGACTGTTTTGTTGGAGTGCAGACACACCAAAACATTTCGTTGAACTTTCACTGCCGCATCAGAACACCAGATTGCAATGACTTGCTGATTCTGCAGCCTGCAACCCGTCGACCCGAGGCTGTAACATAGGTAGGTTAGATTTGTAATTTTGTTTGGCTGAGGGCTAACCGAGATACCTGCCTGTAAGGAAAATTTGTGAGGGACATATCTGCAAATTCGGGAAAATATAGGCCCACACTAACTAGAATTTCCTACAGCTACCCTAACTGCGGATAGCAGACCCGGGCTACCCCTAGGACAGACAGGCCCTAAAGGCCTACGCCGATACACGGTCCTATAGCCTATAGCCGGGTAGGGAGAGGCCCTAGAGGCCGAAACTGAAACAGTACCAGTCCGTCCAGTCAGCCCGGTCTAGGCTAGGGTAGTGTAGTCCTATTAATAGATTGTAGGAATCTGTTCAGGGATTTTGGCAGTTGGTACCGTGTACATCGCTGCTGCACAACGCATGAACTGGAATGGTGACAGCTTCAGCATTGGGGAAGACAGACATAGCCGGACCTGTGAAGCGTCCGCCATAGCTGGGACCTGCACTGTTCTCTGACAGCACGCGGGGCTGTTCAGAAGTTCGGGCTATCTGAAGTCTGCTGGAGGCAAGAGAAGTTAGTGCCCTGCTGAACCCTCATCAGGAGTAGGGTGTCAGGGTGTGTGGCGCTGCAGCCATAGCTGCAGCTTCCTTCCTCAGAGATCATCTTTGTCAGGAGTGGTGGCGCTGCTACAGACTTCCACCAGGGAAGTCTTCTGGCACTTCATCATCATCAGATATTGTGGCGCTGGTCTTCTTCTTCATCCTCTGAGAGGCGCTTGGCCTCAGAGGCCCGTTTCAGGGTGGCGCTTCCCTCTGGAGGCAGTATCTGGGTGGCGCTGGTTGTTTCAGGGTCTCAGGGGTAGTATAGCGGTTACTCAGGGTTGGGGAGTGAAGCGCTGCTCATTCCTGCGCAGCACACGAATAGTTCTGGGGAAATCCTGACATTTCGAGATTATGAGTTTAATAAACAGTGTGAATAGTATGTGTGGACTATCATTGCTTAATTGTTTCCTGGATGTGATCTACTCGGCTTTCCTTTGTGACTGCTTGTGAAGATTCTGTGGAGCGAATTGCACTTTCAGTGTTTTCTGTCATATCGCATGGACAAGTCTTCCGCTGTGTTTATCTCTATGTGTGTGGTTTGACACTCCCATCCTCTCCCCTTCCTTCTGTGTAAGTATGCGCATACCAGGAAGTCTATGTGAGCGAGTGTTGGTGTTACATCTTCGATGCCACACGGGTCCTACCGGACCCGACTTAGGGCCGGAGGAACACACCAGGGCCTAAAGGCCCGACCTTGAGGGTCACAGGCCCTAAAGGCCTGATTTTGCACTCAGCCCAGTGGGTAGGCCCAAACGACAGTTTGTTTGGGCCTGGCGGC